GGTGTATTGGTGCTGACCCACCTGTGTCCCCCCCATGTCCTCATTGAGCCCACAGCCCTGGGTGTATTGGTGCTGACCCACCTGTGTCCCCCCCCATGTCCTCATTGAGCCTGCTGTCACTGGTCCAGCTCCCTTGTTTGTACAGTCTCCCCAAGGCCTGGCCTCCCCACCTGCCCAGCCCCTATTGACATCCCTCTGGTTCACTGTGCCCCTCCCATCACAGGCTCGCCTCAAATTCCCCATCGACTACCCGTACTCCCCTCCAGCTTTCCGATTTCTGACCAAGATGTGGCACCCGAACATATATGAGGTAAGTATGTGTGTTTTCAGGTTAGGAGGAAATCTGAGCATGTGGGTGCATGTTGGCCCCTAGCAGGTAGGGTTGGTGTGCGTGGGTACGAGAGCACATGAAGAGTGGAACGGGAGGGGGTGTGCATAAGCATGGTGGGGTGAGAACGTGCCAGGGCGTGAAGACCACGTGGACATGCATGCCGAGGTGAGCACGTGTGTGCTGGGGTGGTGCATGCGTAGGGAGGAGATGTGCACACACACCCGGGTGTGAGCGTGTCGGGATGGACCTGTTGAATGTGCATGTGGAGTGTGTGCTCGGTGAGTCTGTGAGCACATGTACCGTCGTGCCTTCACTGATGGGGGTGCTGGTGAGCAGGTGCGGGCGGTGTCTGGGAACGTGAATGTACTGAGCGTGGGCGGCGTGTGTGGTGTGAGTGTGTTTTGCAGAGCGGGTGTGTTGGGGGCATGTGTGAGTGTTGTATGTGAGAGTGTCGGGGAGCTGGAACACACACGTGCACACCGGCCCCTGGCATGCAGTTCCCAGGGGCCACTGCTCACGTGCCCTCTCCCTCCCCGCCCCTGCACAGACAGGGGATGTGTGCATCTCCATCCTACACCCCCCTGTTGATGACCCCCAGAGTGGGGAGCTGCCGTCAGAGCGGTGGAACCCTACTCAGAATGTCAGGTGAGACCGCTTTGCCCCAGGCCCAGAGGACATGGGGGCAGGGTGCTGGTCCCGTGTCTGAATGGTTCTCCTTCAGGAAGGGTCATAGAAAGGGTTGTCGTGGTCTCAGTGTCTGGGCAGAGCGGTCAGCTCCTGGCTGACTCATGTCCTCACAGGACCATCCTTCTGAGCGTCATCTCCCTCCTCAATGAGCCCAACACCTTCTCTCCGGCTAACGTGGACGCATCTGTGATGTACCGGAAGTGGAAGGAGAGCAAGGGGAAGGACCGCGAGTACACCGACATCATCCGGTGAGGGCCTTGATCATGGGTGGGACCGGGGCCACCCCGCAGACTGAGTCCTCCCAGCAGCACGGTCAGGATCCCCACCCTCCTCCCTGCCCCGGCAGGGCCCCCACCTGTCTCCTTGCTCCAGCCCGAGCACTCTGGCCCGTGGTTGGAAACACCGGACTCTGTAAGAACAGCCAGTCTTTGTTCTCACTTGGCCCTTGTGGTGGCCTCCTTGCAGTGGCCAGTGCTCCAGGTGTTTAAGGACTTTTACTACCACCCCAGGGGGACCTTGGGGCAGATGTGTGGGTCACTCTTCACTCGGGTTGTTTTGTCTCGGGTCTGTTTTTGGACACACCTGCAGATGACCTCACACCAGGCAGCTTTATATGGAGGTTGTCTCTATACCTTGCTCCTGGCTGAGCGAACCTAGACTTGGGACCAGGCTGTGAGGATGAGGTGGTGGACAGCTATGGAGTAGCTCTGAGGTGGGGTCCCTGCACGTTGAGGTTGCATCTCTGCCTGGCTGTGTCCCTCTCCTGGTCCTGCCAGTGCTCATGACTGGGCTACTGAACGCTTTTTGTCTCAATGAGAACTTACTGTGGGGAGAGCAGGCGGATTACTACTCACTCTGGGGCCCTACCCTCATGAGGGTGCTCCCCTCGTCCTTGGAGGTCTTCTCATCCAGGGGCCTCTCCTGTCCTCTGTGGAGGTCTCTTCATCCACTCCAATGGGGCTCCCCTCTCCTCTGTGGAGGTCTTTCCTCATTCAGGGGGCTCCCCTCTTCTCCATGGAGGTCTCTCCTCATCCTATGGGGCTCCCCTGTCTTCTGAAGGTGTCTCCTCATCCAGGGGCCTCCCCTGTTCTCCATGGAGGTCTCCTCATCAACTGGGGCTCCCTTCATCCAGTGGGGCTCCCTTCTCCTCCATGGAGGAGGTGCCTCTGTCCACTGGGGCTCCCCTGTCCTCCATGGAGGTCTCACTGGGCTGGGCGATTTCCTTTGTCCTTCTTGGTTAAAATTTGTTCTCCTTTACTCTCTGCTGTTTGTCGAGATTTTCAGATGTGGCCTGGTCTCTCCAGGTCCAGACGTGATGGCCATCAGCATGTAGAATAGATCCAGTGCTTGGAGGTGGTCCAGACGTGATGACCGCCAGCATGTAGGAGAGATCGAGTGCTCGGGGGTGGGCCCAGAACCCACTCTCATTTTGCCACCTCCTCAGGAAGCAGGTTCTGGGGACCAAGGTGGACGCAGAGCGGGACGGCGTGAAGGTGCCAACCACCCTGGCTGAGTACTGCGTGAAGACCAAGGCCCCGGTGGCCGACGAGGTCTCGGACCTCTTCTACGACGACTACTACGAAGACGGTGAGCTGGAGGAAGGCGCCGACAGCTGCTTCGGGGACGAGGATGACTCGGGCACCGAAGAGTCCTGACCCGCCCGCCTGCCCAATAAACACAGATTTTACCTCACGGACGGGACTGTGTGGCAGCCGCCCGCCCGAGACTCTACCTCACAGAGGTCTTTGTGTTCTGGCTCTGCTCTGCCTCTCCACCCTCAGCAACCTGGGTCACCTATTGGAGTGCCGGTGGTCACCCAGGTCAGGTGGTCAGAGCCGGGACACCTCTTTAGGGTGCCCAGTTCTGTTTGGAGGACATACAGCAGGGAGGCTCATACATGGGGCATTAGGGGCCTCGGGGCCCTGAGAGAGTATGGACAGCTAGGGGTTTTGGGGTGGACCCTCTGGCATGGACCCAAGCTGTCCTGGCACATGTGTGGATGGGCACCGTGCTACCACTCTTCTCTGCTGTGGTTGGTTTGGAGTTTAAATAAAACATGTTTATGAGCAGCATAGCTTCAGCTTGGCCCCCTGGAGGGCACACCCTGACCCTGCGGCCAGCACCTGCATGTGGTCAGGGGTGCACCCAGAGCTCTGGACCTGGGAGTGACTGGTCCCTCTGGCCAGGACCTAAACCAGAAGAACTTGCCCTGCTGACGCCCAGCCCAGGCCTCACCCCTGGCCCAAAAGACCCAAGGCCTGCTTCCTGGTCATTCCAGTTCCTGGGGAAGGGGCATTGGCAGGATCAAGTGAAATCTGGAAGGTTCAGCTTGGATGTCCCCCAGCTGTCCTCTTGAGTTCGTTGTTGGAGGCCTGCTGGTGGAGCTGTAGAACATGGCTTCCTCCCATCCCCTCCCACTGCCTTCCCCAGCTGGGGTGGGAGTGTGAAGCTGTTTCCTCTAAGCCCAGCAGGTGGTTGTGGGGTATGAGGGAGACCCTGATCGCAAGAGCCCTGGGGTCCACAGCTGTAGCAAATGAATGTACTTGTCAATAAAGTTTTACGGACATAGTCCTGCTCATTGTTCTGAGCTCCATGAGACCCAGACAGGGCTGGCAGGCCCTTCAGGATGTTTATAAGGGCTCCTTTTCAGCTTCCAGGCCTCATTTCTGGAGGGAGTTGTCTTAAAGCATCAGGTCAGGGCCCTTCCCCAAGTCAGCCTTAAGCTTGGAAACCTTGGACAGAAGGGAGATGCCTGCTATGCAGGTGACCCCGAGGAGGCAGGGCCCTAAGGCCTGGTTGGGACCAGTGGCCAGCATGGGGCCTCCCTCCGGCTCCAGGACACAAACGTAGCTGTTTGTAACACACTGGTGTTCTAGAATGTGGGGTTCATAACAGTTTGCTTTGGAACAACTGAAATCTAGAAGTCACTCAGAAAAGCATCACCAACCCATGACCCTGAGGAGGCCCTGGGCCCGCTTGGCACTTGCTGTAACCATGGAGCACCCACTGCAGCTGCTGCTGCTGGCCCTGGGGGTCCTGGCTACAGGCGAGTGGGGACAGGGCCTGGGAGGTGTGTATCTGCGGAGAACCAAGCCAGAGGCTATGGAGGAAGACTCACATGTAAATGAGTGGGGCTGGTTAGGTCAGTACGGTTGGGGTCTACTATCAGGAAGCTTCCAGAAAAGGGCAGGCTGAGTACTGGTGTGGACCTTACCTTCTACCCACTGGAGTCTGCCTTTGGATTTGGTGCCACAAATGCAGGTCAGCACTGCCTTTTAAACCATGTGGGCACAGGCTGTGAGTGGCCAGGTGCGCCCAGGGGAGCAGGACTTCTGGCAAGGTGGTCATCTGGTTTACTTTTGAAATTTTCTTATGAATTGTTTTAAATGTGTATTTAAAGTTCTTAAAAACAGCTGACACTTTGCCAAAACTGAGAAAGACCTGAAGTGCTTGCTGTAGAAAGTCAAGGACTGTAATCTTCAATATAGACTGAAGCTCAACATCAAGAAGACAGATTCTAAAAAAAAAGAAGACAGATTCTAACCACTAGGCCAACTGGCACAACATCATGATAGATGGAGAAGAGATTGAGGTTGTTAACAATTTCAACTTGCTTGGCTCCACAATCAACACTCTTGGCACCAGCAGTCAGGAAACCAAAAAGACAACTTGCACTGGGAAAATCTGCTGTCAAGGGCCTCTCCAGAGTACTGAGGAGCAACAATGTCAGTCTAGAGACTAAGGTGCACCTATCCAGCCATGGTCTTCGTTAAGTATTTGCTTTTTGTGTTGAAGTTGTTATGTGCCGTCAAGTCACTTGCAACTCATAGTGACCCTATGTACAAGAGCCCTAAATGCTGCTCTACCCTCTGCCAACCTCACCGTCTCTGACCCTCATTCCCACCACCAAAATAACAGAATCGATCCATCTCATCAAGGGTCTTCCTCCTCCACCGTCCCTCCACTTTCCCAAACATGATGTCCTCCAAGGACTGGTCCCTCCTTGCAACATACCCAAAGTATGTCAGACAAAGCTTCAGAATCCTTGACTCCAAAGAGAAGTC